GGGGTGTAGTTGATGTTTTTTTTCCATTTCCTTTTTAATATGACACTTACTCACCACACATCACTGTTTTATCAGTGGAACAGTGTGTATTTTATGTACCTGGGTTACACTTGTGTAAGTTTGTTTGGTACAAAACTGAAAATGATTCATCAAATTTTAGACTGAAATTGTTTATTATTAATATTAATATTATTCTGTACTTTGTTATTTTATGCTTCCACTTTCCACAGTGCTGTGCAGTTTCAGGCAGGTGAGAAAAAATGCTGTAAACAAAGAATGCTTTCAAAAATAAAAGTGTTGATCATTTATTTTCATCAGTCAACAAAATGCAGTGAATGAACAAAAGAGAAACCTAAACCAAATCAATATTTGGTGTAACCACCCTTTGCCTTCTTCTAGGTCCACTTGCACACCGTTTTTGAAGGAACTCGCCTGGTAGGTTGTTCCAAACATCTCTGAGAACTAAGCACAGATCTTCTGTGGATGCAGCTTCCTCACATCCTTCTGTCTCTTCATGTAATCCCAGACACACTCCATGATGCTGACATCAGGGCTCTGTGGGGGCCGTACCATCCCTTCCAGTACTTCTTCTTCTTTACACTGAATATAGTTCTTGATGACATTGGCTGGGTGTTTGGGGTCGTTGTCCAGAATACATTTGGGGCCAGTAAACAATCATTTATATTTCTGAAAGAAATATAAATTCTTGTTCTTGTTTACAGCATTTTTCACCTGCCTAAAACTTTTGCACAATACTGTATTTTCTTTATATATATATATATATCTGCTTGGAAACCCGCCTTTTTTCTGTTGATCAAACTGTAATTATTTAAAATTGTTTCACCTTCACAATGTGTGAGTTTCTCAGGACTGTCTTCGAAAACAAATAGTGTCAGGATAGAGGAAGTCAGGGTGGATGGATGGCTCAGTAAAACACTGGACCTAACACTAAAGGTCATAAGGTCATTGTTCTTTCAAACCAACAGTGTTTTAAGTCCCGATCATTGTGAAACCTTATATCACATATAATCTCCAGCAACTGGTATGACAGATGAAATCATAGTTTTCCTGTGTATGTGTTGATCCATCATAACACAAAGACGTGAAACACTCGGTGTGGCTGGGTTCATCATGGCGGAGGGAAAAAGCATTGTGGTGGTTCTCTGAGCGTTTGTGCTGCAAGTAAATGTTTAAAATCAAACTTCAAAATTATAGGTACAAATGTGTGTGTGCTATGCATATTTTTTCATTCAGCGCAGGAACAGTTCACCTCTAATGTCAAGTCCTCCCATCAGCCATCTGGTCGTCTACCATCACACATGCACACAACACAACAGGACAGTCAATCACTGTCCAGCACAGCCTGTGGAGGTGTGCACACAGCCCTGACTCTCCTTGTTCAGTCCTTGCAGTCACCTAAGGGCGTTTAAAGAAGCCTTTAAAACCATGTAGATGTTTGGTTTTGGTTTTTCAGATTTTATGTTCTGGACAAAGTTCAAACAGCAGGTTTTTATATCAGATACGTCTGTTTCTGCTATTTTTGTTTTTTCGGGGGGAATGCACCCATGGTTTACACAAACCTTTCTTCAGACAGACAATAATACTGTTGTAAAGCTGAAAAACTAATGGTGCTGAGGAAAAACAGTCATTCTGAAGCAGGAGTATCTCAGGGATTTAAGAGCAGTGGACGATGTCATTACTCTGTCCTGTTCACATTTATTTTCATGAACACTGGAAGAAAATGTGCCGCTACCATCTTCAGCACTGAGATATCAGTTTTAAATTGTTGTTTTACCTCCAGCTACTTCCTGAAGGGCAAAAAAGATGCTGTGGTGTTAAAGTGGGAAATAGTGTCTTTGTGATTGAGACTGACAGCAGTTTGTCCTTAATCTACCAGAGAACAGGTTAAAATAAAGAGTGCAACAACCTTGACAGCTTATTAAAAGCGAAAGGAGAAAACTGACTCCTTTTAGAGAGAAGTCACCTTTCCACATCCAGCCGTGGGGAAATTCAGAGTATTCAGATTGGTTCTTTACAAGCGAGATTTACACCAGGACGTCTGTATTGTCATTTAACTTGCCTCCTGTTTGTTTGAGATTGTGGTGAAACTCTGGTGGCTTTGTGTGCATCAGAGCATAGACTGTATATAAAAATGAATGTAGTTACCATAGTGACAACCATTGATAGCTGACATTTTTAAACAGTTTTTCCTGGGCACTCACGGTCCTCCTGCCACATTCCCTCCAAATGCCACTCAGACTCCACCGTCTCTCCGCTTGTCTGAACGTATCCAACCAATCTTAAAATATTTCATTGAGAGAATTAACCATATTCATTCAACTCCATTATCGTGGATGTTTTACAGTAAGTTCCTTTTAACCCCCACCTAGCGTAAGTAGAGTTCAGCTTATTTAGCGTTATTCATTTTTATTTTTTTTTTACAGAGATTACTAACATTGGAACAACAGAAAAGCTTTTAACAGAAAGGTGCATTTTCAGAAAATTAACGATGTCTAGTTTCCTAGACAAGGCCGTATGTACTCTTTATACTGGATGCCTAAGATTTACATGAATATTTCTGGTGTTCAAAATATTTTTCAGACTCACCTATTCTTAATGTTCACAGGAACCCAATCATTTAACATTTATTTTTGGGGACGGACTCAAACTTTTTTTGTATGCAAAACAACAGCTTTGACAAATTAATCACTGCATTTCACAATGCATTGTGAACACAGTGTGAACCGGTTAAAATGGGCTCAGGGACTGAAAATACAATCATATGGAAATGCTAAAATAATACTGTATTACCTCAGGCACACATCCAGACCCTGCTACTGGTTCGTCGGCTCTCTGAAAGGATTTCAGAGTCCACAGATGTAGTCCCAACTCTGCCAACGTGAGCCCAAACTGCCCCGCTAACCTCCTGAAATATGATTCAGTTCCTGGATCAAATCATAAAATTCTCCCTGCTGCTTTTTGAGGGCAAATCTTTCACAAGAACACAAAGCTTTCAGTGTGTATATACATTACATGACAAGTTCACATTGTTTTTTCACACTGTGTGTGGAGGCCTGTACTCCAGATGAGCATTAGGAGGGTAAAAGGCTTCGTTTTTGTCTTGTTTCTGGGTCTAATTTTGCTGAAGTGGAACTTCACTACTCTTCAAAAGCTGTTCTTTTGACTTTATGGCACAAAGAGTGTACAATGAGCTACTTTATGTACCCCTCTGTGCACCCAAACATTAATAGCCATGGGGACCATTGGCATTTCAAGCAGACTCACTGCATGTAACTTCTGACTTAAATACTTTATAATTCTGTGCAATTCATGTAAGCCCACCAAAGTGGAAATACACAACTTTTTTAGAGCTCTGCTGAAGCCACCAGGACTGTTGCTATGTAGACAACGAAGAAAATAAAATGTGATTTTTAGAAAGAAACTTTTGAAAATGGTTTATTGTTGTCTATATAAACTGCTCAAATATGACTAAACAACACATCTTGTTGTACAAGTGGGCTACAACATAAGCTAAAAAAAATCCATGGTCTCCTTATCCTGTCTCAGCTAGGATTGGACAGGAGTGTGGACACATTTAGTGG